ATAATCACCTAACGTCTTACTAAATGTTCACCTGGGAGGTAGGCAGGAAACACAGCAAAGGCAAAAAGCTCGGCCACCCCCGGCCTGGCCCAAGCCCAGAAGATGAAGCTCCCGGCTATTTTCAAGATGGATGGATGGAACCGGGGAGATCTCTTCCACATGCGCCCGCACGCGTAGGTTTTGCTTTTAGAACACACGCAACAACTACTTCGCGGTACTCCACCTGACCCAGACACACCACCGGAACGTTACCCAGCACCTCACCAAGCAGAGGACCCCTTGCCACCCAACACGCCCCACGCGGGGGCACACGCAGCACCACCCTCGCCGCCAGCACGGGTGGGAGACCCTAACGACACACACACACACACACACACACCCCCCCGGCAAGTCCAGCACCGCTTGTTCGATGCGCGAGGGCGGCACCCATCCTTCCCAAATGGGGCCCGAAAGGGGAGAGGTCTCCGCGGCGTGGGTTTTGCTGGGTGCGTGGGCCGGCATCGCTCCTACGGCCATTTCCCCGCCCGCCGCGACACCCCCACGCCCCCCCCCCCCGGGGCAGTTCGGGGGCGGACACCCCATTTCCCGTAGCCCGGGTGCGTTCGGCTGCTGCCAACCCCCACACACACCCACACCCACACCCACACCTCGCCGCTCGCCCACCAGCTGCCCCCGCGGCCCCCTCGGGCGGCACCCCGGGCGGCCGCGGGGAGGGCCCCGAGCCGCCCCCCCCCCCGCCCCGGCTCCAGGCAGGCTCCCGGCCCGGGGGGGAGCGCGTAGCAGCCCCGGCAGCTACTCACGGGTGCCGGCGGCGGCGGGTCCGGCCGGCCCCGGGTAGCTCAGCACCAGCACGGGCAGGGCGGCCGCGCCGCGGGGCGCCGGGGGTCTCCACACGCCGGGCGGGGCGGCGGCGGCGGCGGCATGGCCGGGGTAGAGGAGGAAGAAAGGCGGCGAGGCAGGGGCCGCCTCATCTTCCTCCTCCTCCTCCGCCGCCGCCGCTTCCTCCTCCTCCGCCGCCGCCGCCGCCTCCCCGGGCTCGGCCCGCCACTCCATCGCGGGGGGCAGCTCGGCGCCGGCCCTGTCCCGGGAACTTTCCGGCAGCGGCGGCAGAAGCGGCGACCGCTCCGCCTCCGCCATCGCCGCCCCGGGCCCCGCCCCGGCCGGGAAGCAGGGCCGCGGCCGCCCGCCCTCCGCCCCCGCCCAGCCCCGTTGTCCCCCGGCCTGGCCCTGCTCGGCTCCCGGGGGGCACCCCCACACCCCCCGGCCCGGTTGCCCGAAGGGGTGGCTCAGGGCAAGCTGACAAAACCCGGGCCACTGAACTCGGACAGGCGCAGGGGGAAGGACACCCACCCTTCCACCTTTCTGCTGCGAGGGTTTGGGGTTTTTTTCCCCCCACCCTTCACGCTTCGTTTTTCATCACTGCCGCTTCATCCTCCTCACACTTTAACAAAAACTCACGACAAGCCCACCTACTCTTCTAGCGTAAGGTTCCCAGCCCTGCTACAAACGCTGTGGGGCTGCTGGCCGTGGAGAAGCAGCTGTAAGGAAAACGCTCCCCACCTCGCCTGGATTTCATGGACTATTTCTACACCAAGGCAGAAGGAAGGAGGCCGCAGCCCCGTGTGAACGCAGTCGCCTTCGCAGGACCTGAGCCTTGAGAAACCGCCTTCATACAGCAACGGAGAAGTCAGACTCTCATGTGCTTTAACTCACCCATGAAGCGAAGCCAACACACCACCTCCTGCCTCCCCCTCGCCTCTCCAAGGGTGAGACTTCATGGGCAGCTGCGTTTTCAGATACTTTGACAAGAAGTGATGATACAAGGTCCAGTGATATTCCTTACTATTAAAAACTACCAAACAGGCCATACCCATGAGAGTTTCACTTAGGGCACTGTCTTTCTATGCACAGTAGTAAAGACTTCTCATTAAGGCAGGACAATGAATGTGGACTGAAGTGTTGTTGATGGGCAGGGAGACAGAGCATAAATCTGCCAGTTTTTAAAGAATGTCCTGCATTCAGTGCACTTAGGCTAAGCCAAAACACATTGCTTCCTTCTTTTTAAATTTCATGTAAAAATTGCAAAATCAAAACTGTAGAGGCAACTGATTTCCAGGGACTTTTTCCAGCGCTGGCTCAAGTCACGCAACGTTACAACTAATTTAACAGATGCTTTAATCCATTTTACAAATCTCAAAGCTAAATGTTTGAATTTCTATCTGCCAGTGCTAACGAAACTAAAACAATGTCCAGACTGTTGCTGATAGAGTATGATGGAAGAAAACTAGGAAAGTCTTGACAAAATTTAAGGCAGCAGCACATGTAGTTCCGTGCGAGTTATTCAATATATTTTCCTTACCCTGTATAAATAAATTTCAGGCTGTGATGCAGAAAGCGTTGTCCACCTCTCTGTCACTGTACTTTTTCTGCCCAAGCTTCCAAGAAGTATTAGAGCAATGTTACAGCATCCTCCCACCCATGGCATTATTAATCACAGCCTTCCCACGATCACTCATACATCAAACCGGATGGAAATGAACTACTTATGGCTTTGTCCAATCTCTGAACTAACCAACTGAACATAATGCTGTGTTTAATCTTGATTAAAAGGGGTTGGTCCAGGGAGACATGCCGTGCCATCCGCTGGCCGTGCCGATACACTGCGTTCCCTCTTGCCTTCAGCCTTCATCCCAGCGTTTCTGGGGAGTGCGCCTGTAACAGCGCGCTAATTTATTCTTTCCTCTATTTATTGCTCAGATGGAAGTTGCTAGAATTTTGCTTGCAGGCTGCCTAAGGCTTTTCAAGGGAACAGAGATCCGCCTCGGGTATGTGCAGCTTGCCTGCAGATCTACAAAACACCGTCAGCCCTTCATTTCTGCACAAAGCGCGAAACGTGCGTGAGCAGGTGCTGGAGAAATGAGATCAGTTAGTATCTCTGCTGGGTATTTTTCACATAATGTGATGCCTGTTATACAACACCATTCCTCCCCAGAAAAAGTACTTAAGCTGCTTTTTTTTTTCCCAGCGTGTCACCTTTCACTGACCTCTTCACAAGGCCTCAGGAGTGTAGCTCAGTGTTATCAGGGGAGGCCTCCCTCGTGATCCCCGCGCGGAGTTAAGAAAAGGTGTGGTTTTGGGAGAAGCTCTAGCTCCCTCCTCAGTGAGGCTGGGACCCACTAAAAGCCATGCTGTGTCTCACTGGGAAGAGCAAGCAGCTCACAATGCTGATTCTGCTCACAGGAAGGGAGTATGAGGAAGCAGAGGTGAAGGCCACCGCTGTCCCCACAGGTCTCCCCTGAGGCCATCAGGTTACAGAGAGCATTGCTCAGATGAGAAGACATGGTCAGTGACCTCTTCCAGCAAGCCTCACTTTTGCCTCAGTGAGCCAGCCAATGTCATGGAGGGCATCGGTTCCCAAAGCTTTATAGCCTGTTTCTGTGGAGCATTTTTTCTCTTTTTTTCTTTTTATTATGCAGCCTTTAACTGCTATTTGGCCTGTAAACAGCAGGGGGCAAACACATGCAGGGCCATTAAAGGCAGCAGAACTCAGTATTTCACTATTTTCTCCTACACATCTACCCACCATACCAGAACCCCCTCCAAAATCGCCATGCTTAGCTCTGCATCCCATGAATCCAGGACATCTAAGGACTACTGAAGGTCTCCTTACTTCTCTTCCTATCTGTCCAGCTGAAGTTTATTGCTTTCCTGCCTCTCCCTTTAACAACCAGCTTTGAAAATTAACAAAATATTCTCCAGTCAGCAATTAACAGCATGTTCCTGGCAGAAACAGGCCTAGGGTGTAAAGGTTTACATCAAAACCTGTGGAAACACATTTCCCTTGCAGAAAACAAAGAGTGCCTGTATGCTTGAATTGTAGCATCTAGCCCATCACAGGTTCAAGAGCACACGCTCGTATTTTGGCTTCCCCCAAGACCATGACACACACACAAACAAAAAAAAAAAAAAAAATCCCCTAAACAAACCACCTGGATACACTAGTGCTTCCATAATGTGAAGCAGCATTTATTGACAAGACAATTATTCCCCTTAAGTGATTTCACAGGGGAAGCTGACAGCAGCACCTTGCAGGTACACAAAGCATGGCATGGGCTCCCTGAAACCTGTCCCAGACACAAGTGGAGGTCTTACCTGAGACAGCATTTGTTAAACTTGTAAGAAAAATTAATTAGTCATTCCTCCTTTACAGCCTGAACTGGAACTGGCCGCTCACAGCCAGCTCTCAGCAAGAACTTCAGTGTGGGGTTAAATGCCTTTTCCCACCAGAAGCCTCACAAATAATGGAAACATTTTGAAAGTTTACCTTCAAACTGAAGAGAATGTTACATCTTACCCATTTGTCCTTTATCAGTGCTACATTAGACCTGTAACAGCACAAAACAGTTAACATATTTATCATAGATGAGGTTAATATATTTATGACAGATAAATAGCTATGAAATCCAGAAAAGCCCTTGATTTGCTTCTCACCAAGTTCAGAAGGAGGGGGAAATGGGATCTCAGGCCACATGGGATTTAAGTAATAGCTTTCTGCTTGGTTACAAAATTAAAAAGATTTAAGAGAGCCTCAAAGTAGTTCTTAAATGTATGAGCAAAAGGAGTTAATTAGAACAAGTACCATAACCACATGTACCTCATTCTGCAGCTCAACACAGAAAAAGGATGTACCAGATCAAGACAGTGAAAAGGAGAAGGCAGTGGCAGCTGTACAAACCTCACTGTCAACCTGCCCTCGGGAGGTCGCCCCATCCCACAACACATCCCTTGCAGCCTCTCAAAGCCAGTATTTACAGTATGGAAAGACAACAGCATCTCAAAAAACACCTTAAGACACAAGCTGGCTGAGGAAAGGGCCATGTGCTACTTCTAGAGGTGGCACATTCTGGAAGGCATCCTCTGAAAAAAAAAAAAAAAAAAAACCAAAAACACCAACCCAAACAGTATCACCTCATCCCCAGTTTTCAGAAAAAAAAACACAATAACCTTTATAAAATTTTTATTGGATTCTCTGGTGCTACTTGCAGCTCTCAGAAATAGAGAAAAATAATTATCATTGAAGCTTTCTGCTTTTCTTAACTCCCGCACGAATGCCGGACAGTTCCCCGGCGTATCTGTGCAATTCTCTCCGGACTTCCCGGACCTGGCCCTTGCGGCGAATCTTGGCTCGCCGAAACTTCTCCCGATGCTTGACCCTGGGGTTGCGATAGATCTTCTTCCTTCTGGGCGTGAGGCCTTTATTCTTGATCATCTGATAGGTCACACCTCTCTTTTTATTTGGATCCTCTCCTTCCACCAAGGCTTCCTCCCCAAGTGCATCCTCATCTTCAGTTCTCTTCCTCTTGAGTTTCAGCTTCTCCTCCATCATCTTGTAGTATTTTAGGGCAGCCTCTTCATCCAGGTCTGACTCATCTGATGGTTCACCAGCAGTAGCCTGGATATTAGCGAGCACAGGAGCACATTTTGATTTGTTTTTCTTAACATCCGGTGGGAGAAACGCCGCAAACTTCTTCTCCTTCCGTAAATTATCTTCCTTCTTATCATAGTAGTTTTTCAACAGCACACGAACTTGCGAGGATAGCTTTTGATCTATAACAGCTAGGTCATTGATTATATTTCTGTAAGCAACCAGCCGTTCGATAATGGGGTGATTATGAACCGGCATCCTCTTTGACTTCAAAACCAAATAGAAACTGATATTGGCACAGTAACTCAAGTAGAGATGATACTTGGTCTGCAAGTAGCGACTGCCCTTCCCTTGCGGGATAGTGCCGTTTCTGACCATTTGCAGCAGTGGTTGCAGCTCATCCTTGAGCTCCATGAGCTTGACTTCAAAGTCCTCCATCAGCTGCAAGAGCTCAGGGGACTCCTGCCTCAGTAGCTTCAGCTGCTCCTTCTTGGAGAGGGCCTGCAAATCCTTGTCGATCTTCTGCTGATTGCTAGCGAGGGTTTTGTGCTGCTCAGCCAGATAGTCCTGGATCATATCCAGCCCGTAATCACCTTCCCCTAAGTCCTGCACCAACCGCCTCTGGATGACTTGAGCCTCCTGCTCCTCTTCCTCCTCCTCAGCATCAGCTTCTTGCTGGCTACGCTTGCCCTTGGCCGGGGCATCGCTCCCATAGTCTGTGTCATAGTAGAGCTGCTTGCGTTGGCCCCAGGAGAGCTCGTGGGGGAGCTTGGTGTCCTGACGGCGCTCCTCCAGGTCGCTTTCCATGGACAGGTCCCCATCCTCATCTTCAACCTCATTTTCCTCCTCCTCTTCCTCTCCTCCATCCTCCTCACCTTCTCCATTCCCCTCACCTTCTCCATCCCCCTCTTCACCTCCATCCTCTTCTGCACTGTGCTCCAGATAAGTATCCAGCTCCCGTACCTCCTCCTCCTCCTCCTCCTCTTCCTCACCGTGTCCATCCTCCTCGCTATCATCCTCGGGCAGGTGCAGCCCCAGCACTTCCTCCTCTTCCTCCTCCTCCTCGCTCTGCCCAGCCTCCTCCCCGCTCTCCAGGGCCGCCATCACCGCCTGGAACTGCGCCTCATGGAACTCCTCCACCTCATCCAGCAGATCCTCCGGGCCCGCCCGGCCACCGGGTACCTTGTCCCCGCCATCCTCCTCCTCCTCCTCCTCGGCGGCGGGCTGGGGCGGCGGCCGCAGGACTGTGCCGCGCCGGGTCCTCATGGCTCCGCGCCTCCTTTCCCGCCGAGCTTCCGCTTCCGGCTGAGCGCTCCTTCCGTTTCCGCTTCCGCTTCCGCCTCCCTCCGGGCCCGGAGGAACACACAGCCAGCCCCCCAGGTACCTGCCGGGGCAGATTTGATCCCCGGCAGTCACGCTTCTTGTTTAAATTTTCCCAGCTCCGGAGCATAACTGAGTTTGCTCAGTTATGCTTGTGCAGACCCGTTCGGAGCGGCGTGATGGCGGCAGCTGCTAAGCAAGGATTTTTTTTTTCTTTTCGTTCGTGGGAGATACTGTCAAGGAATAATGCCACGTGAAAAGAAGCGCGCCTTTTTTCCTCCTCCTATTTTTTTTTTCCCCCCACCTAACAGCACAGACACATAAAACTGCTGTCTGTATAGTAATCTTACAACCAGGAAAAAAAAAATTTAAAAAGCACCTGACATCTGTCCTCTTGTTAACCGAAACTTCTAGTTACTCAGTTCGCCACAGTCAGATCAAACTTTCAGAGAAGTGTTTGAAAACCTCCCTGGACCCATCAGAAGTGCAGACGTTAACCCTCCCGCGTCCTTCCCCTCACCACATTGCATCTTTACGGGGATACAGGCACCTCCCGGCAGGAGCCGGGCCCGTTCCAAGAGGCTGCGGATCCGCTGTGCTCCTTGGATCGGCCCTTTCATGCCAAAGGACGTGTCCGAGGTGTTAGTAAAGGAGCAATTCTGATGATCGGCAGCTGGGGAGCCTTCCTCGGGGGGGGGGGGGGGTTAAGGCAAACTGTTCAGTCACATTTGCATTCATATCCCTTATTTTTGATTGTTTGTGTCTGTCGTCCGTTACAGGGTGCCCAGCCCAACCTCCCACCTCACCAGGGGGAAAATCGCAGTAGTGCTGAGCCACATGAAAGCGGTCTGGTTTTAAGAAGTGCAGCCGGCCATGCCACAAGAGCTGAGGGAGGCAATGTAATTACTACAGTCTAAGCTCAGAAACCCAGAGCCTGATAAATTAGGCAGCCCCACGTCCCAGTAAGAGGAGCTTTGTGTAGAACAAGTGCAGGTGCTTTTTTCTCACCGCAGAACAGGTGCAGTTTTATTTATAAATGTTTCTGTCCACCTTCTTGTGGAAAAAGACATGTCAAGCAAATATTGAAGTTAACTGAAACAGAGCAGGGGTGCAGGACTTTACTCACTTTTTGGTGATTCATTTGGATTCTGGTAGATCTGATGGCAGGCAAGTCTCACTTATGAGCCTTTTTGATGACGTGCTCACACAGTCACCTCAGGGTCAAAATTTTCCATATATGCTGTTGCACCAAAGATATGTTTTGCCTCAGACTAAAACACCTTTTCCAAATCTGTCCCAATGTTCAGGTATCACCTCCCCTGGATACAGGTCTGTGTAAGAAAGAGCAACAAGAGTAACTTGGTTTTGGTAAGTGAGACATGGCATTCATTTAATTTGTTAGCCACACCTTGGTGGAAATTCTCTCTCTTATACTAGCTGGCCACTAAAATACAGCCATCTCTGCTGTTCAGGCTTCATAATCCTGCTGCTTTACTCCTACCGTTTTGTGTGAAGTCCATCCAGAGCCAATTTCTGCATGATTAAAATGCCAGATCGCTTTTACAAGTGTGACTTACAGAAACCCGGGCCTTCAATGTGTCCCTGACCCTGATGGTTTCCACCTAACTGCCCCTCATGATGTGGTGTCCTCATTTTTTTACAGCTTGCCCTTTCAGAGCTTTAACAACAGACCAACTTCCACTTGGACTCTCATGGATTAAACGGAATTGCCATGTTGTCTCTCAATCTAAGGTTAATTTCTAAGACCAGGAAAGGAGTAGCATCTATAGACATTTGAACCTTCTCCAGGACTTGTGGAAAACATCATGCACTGCTGGTGAAGCTGGAGATGACCTCCGATGTGAGTTAGTTCATCCAGTTATCAACAACTGCTCAAGTCAAACCACACTGGTTTTCTGTAAGCAGCACTGGAATCACCGTGACCAATACAATAATTGGTGACCGCTGCAGGTCTGGTTTAATCCACCATTTTCTTTGCTTCTGAGTGAGAAATGAGGAGAACTGGAAGCTGTAGGACAGACTGCTAGTGGCTGGTGTGTTATCTGGAGATGCCCTGTGCCCTGGTACAGCTGTCCTCCTCTCCACCCCTCACCCAGCATAGCAAGGACACACAAAGACACAACTATTTTGCCTTACTTCATTCAGGCACCTGCCCAGCTTCTGACCTAGAAAATCCTAAATTCAGCACATTCAAGGCCAACTGGAGGCACGGGAAAAGTGAAAGGAGACCAAAACTACTAGGCTGGTTCCCATTTCTTTTAAAATTCTTAATTATTCCTTCACTAGCCTCTGCCTCACAGTGAGGTTGGGAGTCTAGTCCCCACTCAGCCCAGAATTTAAGCCTGGGGCGATGGTTTGCCAACCCCTGGCTGAACTTCCACAGCTCTTGAATGCCTGCTTCCCCAGGTAATATTCTGGTAACTCAAAATCTCACACAGTAAAAAAGGGATAGTCCATAAAAGTAACACTCCATAAAACAAATCTTCCTCTAAAGAGCTTGCAATCGAGATAGAAATCCTGAGAGACATGCAGGTGGCTGAATGGGACTAAAAATAGCTCTTGTGCCACCACATACAGATCAAAGGGACTGTATGCAGACAGGTAGATTTAGCAACCGAAATTCAGATATGCTGAGCACCGGCAGCCAGGGAAAACCACCGAAATCAACAGAATCACACAGAAAATATAATTCTGTTCAGTCTCTCCCTTTGGGTTTGAAAATACTCTTGGATGCCTCTGCTTGGATTTCACCAGTGCTGTATTTTTATCAGCGCAGTTTGGCACAACAGACTAGAACCAGCCTCTGTTGCATGTGCTTTGTGCTGCTGCCTGCACCCTCTCTTCTTGAATGTTTCTAAAAAAACTCCTCTTCTGTTATGAAAAAGGTAACTGAAACACATAGTGCTTTAGAGAGATACTCCTACCACCCTGTGGTTAGGTTTATTTTCAACCTTCTGCAAAAGATGGGGCACAAGGGAACATCTCGCTGCTGCTTTGGAAGAGAGCTCCATGTAAAACTCCGTTGGCAGTACTTTCTGGGAAGGGGACAAGGAAACAAACCCCAAATTTGCCTTCCTAAAGATGGAGCCCTAGTGAGAAAACAAGGTTTGTAAAGAAGAATTATGGCATAACCCGATGCCCTGCTAGGAGCTGGGCTTGCACCCATCATCCTCTACCACCTCCCAGGGGAAACCTCACGTGTGAGCGCTGCTGATGCAATGCAGAAGCGTATTGCATCATGCAACTGCCAGATGTTTGTGCTCAGAGAAGCAGCTCAGGGCAGGGATTGTGGGGTCTTTAAACAGCTCTAGGGTTAGGGACCCAGCCAGCAAGGACTGAAGAAAGGGAAGACTGGCTGCCTTTCCAGGAACTGGCATGCCTGGCAGCATTGCCTGATGACTTCAGGCTCTCAAGAGCCTGGCAAGAGCAAGCCGCTCTGGGTGAGCCAAGGGTGGCCCAGGCTGTGTGAAAAGCCTGTACCTGGTCACAGGGCTGCTGCTCTGCTGCGTAAGGAAAAGCTGGAGAACACAGGGAGATTTACCATGTGCCGCTGATGTTAGTTGATGGAAACATACGTTGCAGGTGGCAGAAATTCAGGAAACACTGATGCGATAACCCTGGCTAAGAATGGGCCTGTCAGCATCGCACTTTGCTCTGCCTCCCTTTCTGTCCTCTGCTGTAGGGACTTGGAGACCCTTGCAAAGACTGGGTTTCCCCTAAAACGTGGCCTTTTCTGTGCAAGACACATACAAATGCTACAGAGATGGCTCTGGTCATCGCAGGTTGCACTGCAGTGTTTGTTTTTCAAAGTTACACAAGTGATTCCAAACCTGGGACCAAAAAAATCCCAGGTCCTCTCTCCAGTACTCCCCCCTCCATCAGGAAAAGTCTGCTCGCCCAGTACCTCAAAGAGTTTGCCTGGGACCTGGCTTGGAACCTTTCATACACCACTAATCCCATTGGGTGCCTTTGCCATTCCTAAGGAAAGAAACTCCTCAACGCAGTGGGCAGATCTGGAGAAAGAGCTCAGCTTTGCCACAGACTCACTGTTGCTTCACCTTTTTTTACCCCTCCCATCTCTCATCTTGTCTGCTTTGACTGCAAGATTTCTGGGGGCAGGTCGAACCCTTAATGTAGGTTTGCACAGAACCTGGTGCAAACAGGATTCTCATCTTGAAGCCTGGAGTGTTTTTATAATATGAGTCAAGCGATCTTTAAGTCTGGTTTCTCAAAACTGGGAGGCAGAGCTTTGGCCCCCAGGGCTGCCTGGACACTTTCTTCCCTTACACTCCTCATCCCCAGGTGGGAGAGTGCCACTGGCCCCAATGGCAAGACGTCCCCTAAGTACCAGGGTGGTTTTGCACTCCCTTGCACTCAGCAGCTTCACTGCTTGTTTGGTGACAAACAGAACAAAAAAGCACAGTAACAGCGCAAGCCCCTGCCCCCCTTCACCTTTGAAAGACAGAGGTCTCTGTGCATTAAACATGCCTGGTTTCAGTCCCCAGCCACATTTTCCACAGTGTCAATTCGAGCTGGCTGGGCTGTTTATTTTAGGAAACAAGTAGCTGTATCATTTGCACACGCCCTTATAGGCAGACACAGGCTCTCCACCTGCATTCTTCAAAAGAAGGGAGGGCAAGATGAAGAGCTCTTTGTTGCCGTGCGTGGCCTTGGCCATCTCCTTGGCATTCATCCTCGTGGCAGGTAAGTTAGAAATGAAAGGCATGGAAAACTGTGCTTAAGATATCAGGGACGGGTTTTGTCTAATTGGTAATTAATAATTCTAACAGTCAAAAATCAAACCTCAAAGCCTGCTCCAGGATTCATGCTTCAGTGGTGCTTGGACACTTCGGGGTCTGTCTTCACCACAGAGCTGTGTGTTTTTAATTGCTGCCTTGAAAGTAAAAAAAGTGATGACTAGCTGCAAATTTAAGGCTTTATGATTAACCATTTTTTATTGGGTTTCTGAAGCAACAAACCACAGACATGCCTGCTTGCTTTTCTGCAGTGCTAGGAAGCTTGCAGACTCTTACCTGCTAGATTTAAAGGCTTATAAAATCTTCCTGATAGTCCTGTCTCTTGGCCACGGCCAACTTATTTCTCATTCAGCTGTAGTTTATTGTGTAACTCCACTGAATTTCTTGGAGACTTTTGATTTAGACTGAGATCAGACTGTCATCCCAGCACACTCCTTGGTGTGGTTCACAGGTGAACGATGCTGACTGTACTAATGCCTGATCTCTGGAAGAGATCCTCATTCACCTGGTGGATCTGGTCCACAGGATTAAATCGGTGCTTAAGGATAACTGTCCCAACAGCATGGACAACAGCATCCCTGCATTTCCTCCAGTTTTGGGGAAAGGGCATCTTATGGCCTACCCAGGCAGGGCCTTGCAAAGTGCTTCCTTTGAAAAGTGACCAGCTGGATAATCTGTTAGCTGAAAAGGCAGAAAGTGTTGAAAAATACTGTGTTGGTTCAATAGAGAGCCCAGTCTGGTTTTCCTCTGTTCATATGAATGACTTTATACACACACACATTAGCAGCTTAGAGGGGAAGTCGAATTAGAGTTACATGCAGCTACAGGAATGCTATTTGTACTACTTATGCTGAAATTAATGTATTTTGGGGCTCTTTGAGCTTCTTCCTACTTCAATAAAGTAGCCACTTGGACCTGCAGATTTTTTGGAATACATTTGCTTCTTCACTATGCTGCAGCTGGATTCTCTTGGGCTTCACAGTGTATTACAGGACAACCCAATATTGGAAGATGAGAAATTTTGTCAAAAAAGATGTACCTGAGGAAGAGAACACCATCTTGCAGTAAATCATGCACCAGAAAATCCAGCAGGCAGACATTTAGAAGGGCATTAGGAAATTTTTTATATAACTACCTTCTCCCCAAAGGGACTTCACTGGGTGATACATGGAAGTATTGCTGATAAAACTATCTTTTTTGCAGCTTTGTAATTTTGCTTTAAAAAAAAGCATCTGGAGTACCTGTAGCTTTTATGGTTACTGAAGTCAAGAGTATTACAGAACAAATTAAATCAGGACAACATTTTTAGAGGACAGTCAAAAACCCCTGCATATTCATAGAAGTATGTTAATTTTAGAAGATGAACTAAAGCCTGCTCCCAAACATTTTGGGACAACTCCCAAAACCAATAGGATCTGACTTGAATATTGGCTTTGGATTAAGGGCTTCAAAAGAACTGCATGCAACTTCACACAGAATACAGTGACAGACAGCAGAGGAAGGTCTATGTGAAGGACAAGAAGCTAGAGCCTTTATATAAGACGGAAGACAGTCCAAGACTCAAGGAGGCAAAAAATCAAGAGGCTTTTGTAGTAAGTTTAAGAGAGAAGCATTCATGTTGAGTGATGAGTTGGCAGAGAGGAAGCATGTAGAACAACAGAGATTAGAAAAAGGGGTACAGAGAGACATGCGCCATTATAACCCACATAACCACCATCTCTGTATGTCCAATATGATTATGTATTTCTGCCATGATGGGGCACGCTGCAGTCAGCAGTATGACTGGACTTACACTCTAGGTGCACATTTTGCAGTGGCGTTTGTACAGCTGGCCAGTTGTGCTGGGTGCTATACAGAGAAATGCTAAAATCCAGTCCTTGCTCTAAAAGGTTCAACGGGCACATACTAGAGTGGGACATGCTGTAGAGGGGTAAAGAAAACCATGAGAGCAGTATCAAGGGCAACATCTACATGTCTGTAGTGTCTTGCTCCACTGCCCAAAGCAAGGGAACAAAGTAATTTCCTTCCTGATTGAGAAATTCCACAGTTAATCTTCTTCAGAAGATATTCTGCTGCCAATTGTCACAGAAACTGCTTTTGTAACCAGCAGGTGAATTGTAGGATCACTCTCAGGCATCATTTTATACAGTTTTTTGCCTTTTTCACAGTTATGGGACCTGTGAGGATCTCAGAAAATAACCCAGTGGAATGGAAGCAGATGAGATCAACATATTGTAGGGGCAGAAAGGAAACTCTAAGAAGCCTTAGGTAGAAAACCTGTAATGCTCTTTGCATTACATTCTATGGACTAGATACCCAGGGGCTCTGCCAGTCAGTCCTGCAGAGGACCCCTGGCCTTGTTTGGACTTGCAGACAGCTTCATGGCACAGTTAAGCTCCTGCCAATAGTGGCTAACAATCAGAAAACTTAGTCTAGCTCCAAGTCCATGTGCTGCTACCGGATCCCAGCTTTGCTGTTACTCCCCCAGGCTTTGAGCACTATCCTTTTCACCCTCTAGCAACAGGGTCTGTTGTTCATAAAACCCAGCAGCTTTGGGCAAGGAGATTGAGAAGAAAACAGACAAGAGCTGATGCAACGCATGTGTCTGCTTCCTTACTGATCTGTGCTTTGGTAACTCCGATCCAGTTCTTAGGACCAAAGCTTTAAGTCACAGTGACTCTGAAATCCTCCATAGACATGAAAACACAGAGGTTGTCAGTCTGTTTCTTCTTTCTTTCCATGGTTAAACCAAAGGACAAGCAAGGTAGGCAAGTTCCCAGAACTGAGGTCCATCTGAGACCAACAAACCATCCATCTTACAAAAAAAAATCACTGGTTTTGGTACTTCTAATCAGGCTGAAGGTGCTGTAGAAAGAGTGATGCTGCAAAGTGACAACCGTGAATGGATTTTAGCAGCATTTAGAAATACAGAGGGATGTAAAAGCAACCACTTATGAATGGTATGACTGTGTGTGCATATAAAAGCAGGGCTGGATTGTTATGGGTGAAGAAACCAGAGGCTCTAGGTTGGGGAAAACCAACTCACAAAGAACAGGCTATTTCAAATCCATTTACTTGCACAGTAAGAAGACATTGCGTGCCACCGCGAACATTCAAAAAGCCTCTGGGTGACAGATGGGATGTTCTACCCTGTTTTGACCCTGAGTTTCCTATTGAATAGCATGCTAAAAGTGCAGGAGACATGCTCAAGCTGGTTGTTCTCTATTTGAGTAAGAAAATCAGGACTGGAGTTTTCCCTGCAGACAGCAAGCATCTTAAGGACCACTTGCCTGTCACTGCCAGGTCAGCAGGCTACCTTCTTGATGGGTCCTGTAGTGCTTTTTGGCATCTGTTCCCTCAGGGACCTGAAGGACAACATACCATTCAGGGAAAACTGATATATCTGCCAGGTCCGAAATGTTTATTTAGAGGCCAGATGAAAACTAGGTTTGGGCTGCTAGAATAGTCCTGGTAGATGACAGAGCAACTGGGTAACCTCCCCTGTTAGGGTAAAAGCAGCACTTCAGCTGCTAGGTATAGCTTGAGGCTTGCAAAGGGACCTTCTTCCCATTTCATGAGCCACCCCTGCATGCTTGCCTCTCACCAGCCACACTGTGTCCAGGCTTTCATTTTCTCCTTCCCAGTCCCACCACATCCACTTACAGATGCATCCTGTAGCCTGAGCAGGGAAGACAGCCGAATTAGTCTTTGCCAAGAGGCTCATTAGTACCTGTTGCAACCTGGACTTTAATCAATCCAGATGCCACAGCAGTGCATTTCTGGCATTCTCATCACTTGGCTTGCTGCTAGAGCAGGTTCCACAGTTTTTCTTCTTGACCCTGGGATTGCATATCCTGTGCTTGCAGGTTATCCACAGGACTCTGAGGACAAGGAGTACGTGCTGGTCAATAACAAGTGTCAGTGTGTAACCGTGACCTCAAGGTTCGTCCCCTCCAAAGAAAATCCTGATGAAGAAATCCTGGAGAGAAACATACGCATCCTGTAAGTGGCAGACAAGTATTACATGGAGATGGTGAACATGACATGGGGTGTTACAGGAGTTCCCTTTTCTTTGCAATGTTTCCCATGTCCTGGCATTGAGTGAACTTGTTTTTGTGTGGGCTGCTTTCTATGGTATCCTGGAATACTTCCTTTTGCATGGTGTTTTTCTAGCTCACACAAACCAATCTGGTCTTTGTCCCTTCAGATACGAAAAGAATCTCCATGTTTTAAGCAATCAGGTAGTAACTTTACAAAATAGGCTGGGGAGGTAGAATGTAACATTTCTGCAATTGATCTAATCTGAAACCAAACTGGGCCCATGACACTGGATTTACTTACCGATCGGATAGCAAGCCTGCTATTTTATAGGTTGGGAAGACTAGTTAATGCCTAAAGTAACAGAGAAGGTTAATCATACAAGGCAGATCTCCGTTCTAGAGTTGGATTTTGTCCTCTTTACTCACACAAACCTTACAAAAGTGTGTGTGTCTCTTGGAAACATGGGCCAAGTTCAAGCTCAGAGCTGCAGGAGTTCTGGTAGAGCTCACAACAGGAGGAACACTAATTAAACATCTCTGTGTCTTGCAAGTCTCAGGCATCTGCCAGGTCAGAGCTTTTTTGTTACTAAAAAAAAAAAAATATTATCAGCACTGTCACCTTGAAAGTGGCACTTTCAAAAATTGCTGCAGTCCTCTTGGGGAAGGTTGTTGCCTTTGAGGAAGGGTGAAGATCTGCCATCCCTGGTCTTTTCTATGGAGAAGGGCCTGAATGGAAATAACCTGGAGAACAAGATGAGCGTTGAGAACCATGCACAGCAGAGCAGTCCTCTGTTTAATAAGCAGTTTTCATGAGAGCTATTCTCTTCCCTCCTTCGCAGAGTCCCCCTGAAGGCTCGAGAGAACATCTCGGACCCCTTATCCCCACTCAGAACCACTTTTGTCTACCGCATGACCGAACTGTAAGTAATTTTATTTACTAAGTTCATCTCCTAAGACTTAAACTCCCCTGTAACATTGCCCACAGCAGCTCAAAAGTGTGCTTGAAGACCGGTAGAGAAAGTGAGGCAGGGTCACAGAGGAAAGTTTTCCCCATGGAGCCTAGCTTTCATATTCTGTTGCAAGCCAATAAATTGTTATCTCCATGATTAATTCACACAAAAAGGTCTCACATTTACAAGAAATATTTCATTCTGACCCCTGATCATCTTGAATGTCTTAAATATCAGCAAATTACACATTGGGTGTTTAACCCTCCCTTTTAGGGACCTGTCTTGCCAATAGCAGTTTGACAACACTAAAAGCATCTGGCCAGGGGTTCCTATGTAAAACCTAGAAAGGCCACAGTACTCTCCTAGCTACACTTGCAGATCAGCAAGGAAGAGTTGGGTTCTACCAGGGGCATCTTTTCATCACAACTCTTAACACTTGTTCTATTTTCTATTTCTTCCAGGTGCAAAAAATGTGACCCCGTGGAAATTGAGCTGGGCGGTGAGATATACCAGGCCCAGCAGAGCACCTCCTGCAATGAACATGAAACCTGCTATACCTACAACAGGGACAAGTGCTACACCACAACCTTCCCATTCCGCTACCACGGGGAGGTGAAAAACGTTCCAGCAGCTCTGACGCCGGCATCCTGCTACGCCGATTAGCTCAGTCACTGTGGTACTAATGCCTTGTTGAACCCAGTGCTCCTATCCAAAAAAACATGTATAGCACCATAGGACCTGGACAACAGTGTCCAAAATATCAGCTCCCAGCGTAATGCCAACTTGCCTCTCCATATGATTTTCAACATCAGAGTAGTGCCATCTCTTAAGAGCAGCTACCTGTTCTCATATCCCTGACATATATCTGCAATGCCATTATTATATGGCTCAGACATTATCACCCTATAGACCAGATACTCAGCACATGTAAATGAGTAACTCTCTTGAAACCAAGGGAACTCCACCTACTTACAATGCTGGGGAACCTGTCTTTTTGACAGTCCTCCATCGGTCTTTATCTGAGCAAGGCTCCCATGAGCATCAGCAGGAATGTCTGTGTACTTCTCTCCCAGAGCCATCTAAAACAAACCTCCGCACAACCATTATACAAGACCTTTTGATTACATTAGAAAAATCTGTGCCATTGTTAGAAGGCTGTTGTACAATCATATTTGAGAGAAAATATAAGGGATGAGACCAAGAACTCAGATTTCAAAGTTACTTTACAATTGGGCATTCTAGACCCTTCTAGCACTTTGACAATTGCAAGCTTATAATTTTCACATACGCTTAGAGAAGATCAAAAGATGCTGCTACAGTGAAGTGTTTTGCAAAATTGCCAGGACCTCAGCTGTGCCAAGAATAGTAAACTCTTCTAGGACATGTTAAGTATTTCACTTTCCATGCTTATTTACTGATATTGCTGCCTTCTTCCTCCCCTGTTCCCAGTTCAACCGATGAAAAAAAATCAAGTTGGCTCAGATTTCTTTTCTTGTTCCTCATTTTGCACTTCAAGCTTCAAGAAATTCTATGAAGGTGACTCAACTGCTAGAGCAGCACCCTAGTTAGGGGTTAATTCCTTTTTTCACACCAGTAGTTTTCTTCATAAAAGAAACCCTCACCAAATAAAGAAGCTGATTCTGTATTGCACCTTACCTTTAAATGCATTATACTCAGTATTGCCCAGAGAGACATCACGTATCTGAGTGCAGAAGGGGCCCAGCATTACATTTGGGATGGCTGGTATGTTTCTCACTGTTGTCAGAAGTTGATTGTAAAGACTGAGATTGTTCTGAAAAGTCCTTATCTGGCTTCACACATAATTGGAATAATAAAATAGCAAAAGTCTTATTTCCATAACTGTAGCTTTGCTAGTGAAACATTAAATAAACTTTTTTTCTGCAGCAGCCTGTGTGTTATATTTTGGTTCAAGAATAACTCATAAGAAAAAGAAAAGTCTATAATCATATTCTTTCCTCCTTCACAGTGAAGTAAGCAGCTGTCCCTAAATAACTGCTTATATTTACAGGCAAAGCTTCCTGGAATACTGGGATAAAAATATTATGATGCACTTGCAGAAACTATGACAGATTGAGGTTGAACTGGTTTATGATTTTTCAGATCAGCTCTACATCACTGAGCTGCTTCAGGGCCCTGTAAGTCAGTGCAGGATTGGAGTTTAAAAATCCAAACATTGCCTAAACCACACTTGAAATTTCAATCCACAGATCAGAATTTTACCTCACCACCGAAAAAAGTGCCTTTAAGACATGTATGTCAGCAGCTACTCATTCATATGCAAGCAGTCTGTCCTAAGGAAAAAAAAATCTTGAGGGGGTGGAGGGAGGGGGATGATGACAAATTTTGAAGAATGGAAGAGTGAAGAGGACCGAGACATGAATTATTCTAATATAACATCAGAGTTACGGAAAACGAACTCAGAAAAAATAGCAGTTTTCTCCCTCCTTCATGCAAAAACATAACCGATTCAAACAAATGCAAAATGCAAAGGGAGGCAGAGACTCCTGCCATGCACTGACACAGCTAGAAATATTTTGGTGGTTAGGTACTAAGCTCACTGAAATTTGTCTCAGATATTTTCATCTCCAAAAGTCCTGGTGCTCACCAACCTACAAGTGCTGTGGTGTTAGAAGTTAGTAGGTCATGGCGAAGCTGCATTTCACTTCCCTGCACAGCTCTTCAGGTTGCAGCCACAGGAATTTGTCAGTCCTTGGGGCTCTGCCTCTACCCTGGAACCATGTGCCTGAAAGTGAAGTTTCCACATTTGTTTGTGCATCCTGTTGTAGAGATAACAGAAGATTCACATAAACAGGACTGGAAATCACCCTGCAGCACATCTGTGAAGTCCTGCAATGCCATCACAACAGACTGTTCATGAGAGCCATTCAGGAAAAAGGAAATCAAAGCACACAGTTTTCCAAGCAGCTGTGAACAAGCACTTGCTTAGATGATCATGGGCAGAGGAAACAGCCACTTGGAAACAAGAAAAGGGTGTTCATTAAACTCCCCATGTGTTATTCAAATTTATAATAAAGCAGGATTCATTCCCCCCATCTTTTCTGAGAGGAAAAAACCTACACTGACAGCCTAGCCTACCCCTTGGTACTGAATTGTGTTAGCCAAGTTTTAAGTAACTTAAAGCAACAAAGCAAGTCTAATCAGGCTTTGAATCCCTACCTGAAAGACCAGGACAGTAAAATAGGAGCCGGAGAGGTCTGCTTACCCCTGAGAGCGTACTGGAGAGGCTCTGGGACCTTGTAGCCAGGGGAAGAGGTGCTGACGGACAATAGAAATTCCCCTTGCTGGGATTGTCTCAGGTGTGCTGCCAAAACCATGTCCTGCTTTGAAAGATCGTGTTTCTCAGACTGTGTGGCCACTACTTCAAAGTGGGATTATTTTGGCTAGTCCTGAAGGTTGGGGTAAGAATGCCTTCCTTGGTGTGAACTCCTCTGTTTCATTCCCTAAGTGACTGTGGTGGGATGAAACGTCCCACTTGGGCTTGCAATACTTTCTTACCAGCTACATCTTTTTCTTCACAGGTCAGGTTGGTTCTTTAGCTGCAGTTAGTGTTTCTTCAATAGTTCATCTTAGTGCATTTAAGTTAAATCCATTTTGTCTCAGACTTACAGGAATACATTTCCATTTTATCTCCTCAGAGACTACTTCTAGACTTAATTCTTCCCAGGTCTGTCTTCTTTGCCTAAATACTGTTCTGTTGCTTATGCAACGTTGAGTTACAGGGATTTCTCGCTAGTTGTTTTAGAAGTGCTTTTTAAAACATGGAAATTTATCCTCATAATCCTGTTTCCTGTTTGACCAGAAAGTTTAATTAGCAGCAGAAACTACAGCACACATAGCTGCACAGAACAAATCCTCGAGCACAAAATCAGTGTTTTACAGCAGGAAATTCAGCAAAGAACACAGCTTATGAGCACAAAGTGCAGCTTTGCCTGGTTGGTTAATTCACGGGTAGGCCCGAGGGCTATGGGACAGCCACAGTTCCTGCACTGTAAAGGCTTCAGCTGTCTTTATTAGGTATTTTTGGTGTAGTAATAGACAACATCCTATAATTTTTAGTGGCTTTACTATATTAAGTCTGCTTTTGTCAGTGCAAGGTTTGTCCGCGGTGGGACCTTTCTGCAGAAGAGTACTGCTTTGTACGTTCTCAGGTGAAAGGTTTCATTTTTTCAATATAGAGATTGCAGCCAGTTATGCCTTAGAGAATTCAGCAATCATTTATTTATATTCTGTAAAGCAGTAAACACAATGTAGATGCTTAAAAAAAATTAAGTTGCTCGTGGGCCAGGACCTTTGGTTAAGCCAGCATGTTACTGCATAAGACATCATCAGTACCTTCTACCCAAGCCCAAGCACTGCTAAGCTAGCCAAGTGGTTTGTGCCCGGAATTTGGTAGTCCAAATCCAATCTGGCCATTTCAGTAGTAACTCAAAACTACCTTTAAGTTTATTCTAATGTAAGAATACTCTTTTAGGAGCAGCTCAGCTACTAGTTTCCATTAATTTTAAGAGGATTTAGAAATCTGTATTAGTTCATGGTCATGAAAGAACCTTCTCTTATTTTGTCGTATCTCTTTAGACACTTTCTTGCAAGACTTGGATGTCCTCTCAGGAGCTCTCTTATCATTTCCCTCAGCCAGCATTTTCAGAAGAAACTGAAACAAAAGATTAAGCATAAGCATGATTAACAGCCTCAAATGTCACTTAGAGAGTGACTGAAGAAAAAGGTAAAAATATGTCAAGAGAAACAGTCAAAAATCCAGTGCACATATTGCTCAGCTGCAGCTGTTGCTTATGACAGGAGATCAAACTCAGTGAAGTCCCATCTTGGGCACTGAGGTTGAAATCTGTTTTGCACCCACAGTTAACACATAGCACTGGCTTCTGCACATGCTGATGGCATGTAGGAACGTCAGCCACACAAGCTGCAAAGCTACGTGAGTCTCAAGTGTACCTCAAAATACCCATTCCCTTGCTCCAGGATGACACTTTGCACAGGTCCTTCATGCTAAGCCTCAACAGGGGATCCCAGCACCACTTTCAAGACACCTGCACAACCGAGCCGCAGCTGCTTTCTGAAGCCCCGTTTGCAATTGCACCAGTTCCTCCCCTCCAAAAGCTCCATTACAGAGAGAGAAGAGCTGGAGGTCCCTGGTCTAGCCGGTTTTACAACCAGTACCTTGGGACAACACAGCAATAGCCACAAGCACATCAACATGGGGACACAGACATCACTCTCAGCAAATTCTCATGACTCACCCAAGGCTTTCTGTAGCCCTTTTTTTCCAGGAATTCCTTAAAGGCCTGTGCGCTGTAGAGCTGCGTGACTTCCATCTCCTGAATTAATTTCCACAGTAGATTAAAAGAAAACAGTCAGATTTAATTTTTATGTACAAGTTTCACATGCCTAAAGAAACCATGCAGTATGTATCTGTCCAGCTCTCTTGAAAACTTATCAACCAATAAATATTTTACCTGCTAACAGCTCTAGCTCAGATTCCATTTTCTCTTTACAAACAATTTAGGTTGTTTTGTGCATGTGAATTTTAGCAAATTATAACCTATGATCCTGTAATACACAAAGTCCTGTGCTACACAAAGTCATTTCCCTCAGTATCTTTGGTAAGGAAGGCAAGAAGAGTTTTTCTTCATTATCCAAGTAAGCACACCTATCCTCAATAACCTGCTGTCTATTCCCAGGAGTAGCTGAACAAAATGAGGTGGATTATGATTCAACTGCAAACTTGGCCTTTATTTCTAGGCAGCATTAACAAAAACACAACCTTTGCTTTTGTGTTCTATAACTCAGCTGTTCCCAGTCACCCTCTCTGCAAAACTTACTCCTCCTTAGTCTTACATACAGCGTTTCTTCACTCAACAGGAGTGGCCCTTGTCATTCAGGTCACCAGCCCTTTGCATGTGGCACAGTTTTAGTCACCTGCAACTCTTTGGTGTTACATTTGGAAGGACTGCCCTCTAGAGCATGAGCAACGTCTTCCTGTTTCACTATGTAGTAAGTGTAAAGATGGAGTAGATTTTTTTTTTTATATAAAGAGGGAACTAAACCTGCATCTAAGTAAATCCAGAAGAACCTGCCTGCTCTTCAAACTCTTGCTAATAACACCTTGTACCACAGCCGAATCCAGCACCTTTATCAAGACAGACATTGCAGTAAACCAAAACCAAGATAAAAACACCCTAAGACAGTCTGAGGTGCCAATTGCATGTGAATGCATTTTGGCCACATACAATACCAAAAGCATGAAAGGAACTACATTTACAACAGTTACTTCAACTGAATCTTGATTTGTGCTTATTTGCCTTCGGGAGTTGTTGTCCCCATATAGGTACCATGAAGCCACAGTCTAAACCAAGTGAATGAGCCTGGTTGAACCATCTCTGTTTGGATAACGTGGTCTGTTCCACAAGTATTTGTGGCTGTCAGATACAATACAGTGCCCCGAGACATTCCCATCAGAAAATAATCTCTCATAGCTATGTCACAGAAAAATCATATCCCTTTTTTTTCCATTCACAGTACCTTTTTTTCGGAGAGGTTCTTCGCATTCCCAAGGCTATTGATTGTTGCCTCTGGAGCTTTTAATGGTTCGTTCTCTTTCTGTTTCCTCCAAGTTTTGGGATCGAGATACCATGCTCCATATCTAATCTTCTCCCATTTGGGGGGGGCAGGAACCTGCAAAAAAACACTGTAGCAGTGTTCTTTCATCACCTTGGCATTTGTCCCCCATGCCACAGGCAGTACAGACACAGAGTCTGAGAACATGAACACCAACTCTGAAGGGTCTACTAGGGATAATATTGTACCCTACAGCTATACAATGTAAAGGCAGTGGCTGACGAGAATATCTGACTAGCAATTTTTTCTCCCTTTTCCCCACAAAAGCAAACAGTATTAAACACTACTACTGGGAATCAGTACACTCAAGTCATTTGACCTTTTTCTTTTACTCCACACTTTTTTTTTTTTTGTGAGAACCTGGGAAGGAAGTCTGTGAGCTTCATAATTTTGGAGTCAGAAGCGGAATAAATGTCTTTCTATTTAAAAATTGACTCTCTGAACATGGAAAAAACCTAGCTACAGGGTTGGAGAAACGCAAGCTTTCAGTTAAGCCAGAATGGGCCCCACTTCAACATCTTAACTAAGATCTTTCCATACATGCTTTCCCTACAGCCCTCCTCCAGTTTTCACCTCAACCATATACGGCCTTTGATTATATATTGAACAATTAAAAGAAAATACTGTAAGAAAAGCAGGTAATGGGAAAGGCACGGACTGGAAGGCCATTGCCCTGTGCTTCAGCTTCTTCTAGTTTTTGGCACCTCCACGGGTACACTCAGGACTGAGGACCTCTTGAAGCTCCAACTGTAACATCGAACAAACCACATGTTGAGATGGGTCAGACATGACATCCTTCACCTAGTCCAAAACTCACACAGTTTTCAACCATGTTTTTCCCCTTTATTTCACTGGCTGTGGGTAGAAGCAAAAATACTGTATGGTAGAGCCCTAAATAATACTCTTAGGTGTCATTCCCCTATTTTACTGCTCTGCTGCATGTAAACACTCACCATAATTGAACATTTCCTTTTTTAACTGCACTCCGGATCCTTAACATACAATTAGAGAGATCTATCAAGTGCTCCCTGGAAAAAACAGGCTCATTCCTCATCTCCAGTAGACACCCTCCCCCACAAACCATCCAAAACAATTAGACTTTAGCAAATGTAAATGTGGGCTCTTTTACCTTAACCTGGCAGGGCAGGCTCCTTAGGTGATGAGAACTCCTGATAGGTAACCGGGGAAGTGAAATTCCCTGGCACTTTGGCAGCTCTGCTTGCACAGTGTTGAATTTCACAGCACGGAAAAGTGAAGGGACAGCAGCCTCCCTTTCACAGCTGGTGTTGAGCAAGCTCGTGAGGGCACCTTCATCGATATTGCAGTTCCCTCCTCCCTGGAACAACCCCAGCACAGTCTCAGGGTGGGGAAGAACAACATCTCTGCTAGTATTTTCTTGCATTCCTTTCTCCCCCCACAATGTATAGCACTATTAAATTCAGCATCACAGTTTCAGCTGATCTACAAGTATGGTTGTGTTAGCAGCATCATCAGTGACAAGGCAAGCGCAAAGTCAGTTTGGAACCAACACATGAATTGGTGTATTGATTTCAGATAAAAGGGGACTGCTCCAAGGTGAGGCAGTTAAATAGTGGATGGCTTCCCTGGAAAGAAAACCCCACCATTTTCTGAAGCAAACTTCCTAAGCAGTATTTTCATATAATGGTACTTATTCATTGCTTTACATTCAGTGGGCTGAGCCCTGTTAGTCACAACAGGACACCAGAGCTGAGTCAAACAAGAAATCTTGGTTTTGAATGGGGCTCTCAGATTCACACATCCAGAGCCCCATTTTTACTTCTTAAGCCCAAAGACATTTAGCCTAAATTAAGTAATGAGGTTTCAGGAATCAAGGAGGGCAGGTGGTAGCAGTTTTGCTTTACTTACCAAAGACATAGCCCGGTCCCAAAAATGCTTGGTTACTTGCTTTACATGCTTTACGTGTTCATCAGGGCAAATGAAGTCAGTCAGCATGGCCTTTTCTCTCACTGCTACCTTCTTGGAAAGCCGTGTACAGGAGTTTTTGCCTCGAGACTCCTTGCCGCTGAAGGTATTAATGCAATACCACCTGAAACACCCTTGGATTGACAGCAGCAATAGCTGTCACCACACAGACAGTATTAGACAACAGCCTAAAGCGGGATCCTGTGCTTGCACATACACCTTTGGAACACCAGTGGTACAGTTTACCACCAGACACGGCATGGTTTTTGCACGGAATAGCTTGAGCAATTCGATCCAGTTCTGAAGGCCGCCCTCACAAACAGAATAAAGGGCTGCAGCTGCTATACTGAACAGCACAGTCCCGAGGTTTGGATGCAAGGCTTGAAATAACCCACCATATTCAAAATAGAAAAGTCTAAAAAAATTGAAGCTCAGAGTTGTATGTGCCCATCACTATGTCCCTCTGTCATTATTAGAAGTGTTTAGGGAAGAATCAAGTTACGCCACTTATTTCGCCACAGCTAATTCAGCCTGTAAATCTAACCACCAGTGAGGCTTTTTCCTTATGTTTTTGTACAACCCGGAACTAATCCTGATTGGTGTCTGAACAGGTGGTGGGATATCAATTAATTTTCCAGTATCATTGAGGAAGGCAAAGGAACCTATCATTTAACAAAAACTACTCCCATGACAGATTGCAGTAAATTTTAATTACGTGTCTAAATTCCTTTTTCCACTCCTCTCACAGGGAAGGCAGCATTCAGAGCCATTTGTGTTGCTGCCTCCATCTTGTCCTGTACTCACTGTACTCGTGTCTTGGAAGCTGTTGCTTTGCCTCGCGTGTCTTCCATATGATCCAGCACCTCCAGAAGGGGTTGGTTCTCCTGCTCATAGTCACTGTAGCCAGCCTTGTTCTTCAAAAGCATTTCAGGATCCAGGGCACCAGCAACCTCTCTCAAGAGCTGAAAGCCAAGCAAAAAGACAGCCTGTGTTCAAAAATAACCCCATTGGAGGAAGCTTGCTTGGGAGCTATGTGAAGGACTGCCCAATGTGCAAGTCTCCTCAGGTCTACTGGAAGTTAAGGCAGTTTGTAGACCAGAAGCCTCTTTTTCAAAAATCTCTGAAGTATTAATTGCAACTCAGGCTGCTTGCTAGATCTGTGAATCATGCTATAATTCTAGTCTCTGCCATCTTCTGTTGCCATCTGCTGTACCCCATATGAAGTTTTCCTTCAGCTGCTTTTACATTTCCTTCCTTTCAGTACAGTCTCTTGTTTCATGATCCATTTGCCCCGGTAACAGCAGTCTGGGATCAGGGAGAGCTCTGCCCTTGCCTGGTCTCACAGAACAGAGACCAAATTTTCTGTTTTGAATTCCAAGGCTTCTCCCAGTGAACCCATCCATCATCTTATTTCATCCAAGCCTTAGGTGAGTATATCTCCTTAAGACAAGGCTAAACAATACTATGGTGCTTCACCGAGGGGTGCTCATCTTCTGTAGCATGAAGCCTGTCCCTTCCAAAGCCTCCAAGCTCTCCTCTGTTCCTTTTGAGAGGTACTAGAATCAAGAAGTTTAATTATGACACTGTATTTGGTCACTGTCCTCCATCTGCAACATCCAAACAAGCATGTTCCAGAAGTTCCCAGCCATACAAGAGACAAGGACCTGCTAGCTTTTGCTTGCATGAAGCAGGCAAAGTTGAAGAACTGGAGACCTGGAAAAGAGGAATGATTCTGGAAACAGGCTGAGAAATAAAAGTAATGAGATAAACTCTGCTATCTTGGGCATATTCCTAATTTAGCAGTTCTGATTAGATTTGCTTCCTGATTTATAATGACTATTCATATCAAGGCCTGTCGATAGGTTAGCAGATAAAGCTTTTTCTGTAATCTGCTGATGGCAGGCACTAGATGTCTCAATTAGCCCATTTGCAATACTGTTCCACAATTAACTTGCTGACAATTTGGACCTACCATCTAAATCTACGTTACCTTTAATATTATTTGCCTTGTTTTCACTTTGGAAAGAAACATAAGTTGCTGTGTTTTTTTTCAATTGACAATAGTACTACATGCTAGGTTAGTTTCTTGTTCCAACACTCTGAAGAAACAGTGTTTAAACAGGATTATAAAATCATTACCTTCGGGGAGATACTTTTTCCCAGGTGTGGGCAGAGCGTGAAGCGGTGCTGGTTCAGACAGCACTCTATCTGTGCAACATAATCCCTTCTGGCTTGCTGCAGCGGGCTGAGCTTGGAAAGACAGACCTGCGTTTTGGCACACTTACTCCTATTCTTCCGTGGAACTGCAGGTAAAGATTGCAGTGTGCTCTTTTGAAGGTTAATTGAGACAGGCCGCTTTCTGCCATACACAATCATGTTATCAGATGAAGGAGGAAAGCCATCTCTGAAGTCATCTAGACCTTTTTTTAGGAATATCCAGCACTGACCATTAAGTGAGTCCGAGAACCTCAGTCTGCTTTCTTGAAAGTCCTTATAAGACATTTTCTCCCTTCTGTAAATAAAATACATTAAGCAGAGCTTAAAGGCTGTAATGAAAAGGACTGGAGTACATTTAGAGTACAAGCAGATATTCAACTCCAAGCATGCCTACCCACACTGGCCAGCAGTTTGCTACTACTCAGCTTTTGAGAAACACTTACAAAATGCTGACTTAAGCTGTATGAAGGATACCCACCAAAAAACAGCATTTCCAGTTCACAGACAATCCTGGCATTCCAAACATCTGTTTTTAAATAAAAAATTGGTAATGTTATAGAGCTTCTCTTTCAAGACATATTTTATACATATGTATATTGCCTCAGTGACAAAAATACTTTAAAGCTGTATGTTTAAGATTGCCAACGTTCATCACAAATGCCTCATTTCAGTTGACCACCACCTTTCCAGCTCTCAGCCACTCCGCATTTCATTAGTGGCCTATCTAATTAGTTTAGTGGTTTGAGCAAAATAGCTCTGGCAGTTTCAGAGAATGATTTAAGATTTGGTAGCTGAACCAACCTCCATTTTCCAGAGCTTGCAGATACAGTGTACAACCTGCTGTTTCCAAGGTGGTCCAGGTTGTTGCAGGGGCACTGGTAGGAGGGTGGCCATGGCAGCCTGGACCAGGCAAACTGGAATAAGAGACCTTCCGACTGTTTGCTGGAAAGGTCAGAGGCTGAATTAACTCCCAGGCAGCAGCAGTTTCTATCTCCAAACAGTATCTGAGGAACTCCACAAGCACAATGAGCAAGTGATTTATAGTTATGAAACTCATTTAAGTCCTCTTTGATCTGTAGTGATTAAATGCAAGACAAGAAAGTAGTGACTTAATGTCTTTACCAAAACAACATTGTCAATGCTATGGGAGGGTAAAGGCTCTGCTACAAAGCTAATGACAAAAAACAAGACAAGCATCACTAAACGCCAGCCATCCTGCATTTTGCATATACCATGTGTTGATGGAGAAATGCATGTGTTGACCCTCCTTTAGTTTTACTGTTTCATGTTAAGTATCTTCTCATCCTACTTTTCTGTTTCACTTACTCTTTGGATGCTAGCAAGGCATTTCTTTTTTCCTGCCAAATCCTCCAGCAGCCAGGAAGTGTGTCAATTTACAGCAAGTGCTAAGATGCTGCTACAAAGTCACACACAAGCTAGTTTAGATTCCTCTCTAGTGCTACAGAGCCAGATCCAGACATTTGCAGCTACACAGCACAGGCGGGTAGTTAGTTCTTCATGGATGATCCAGGTCCAAGCGGTGAGCAGAGCCTCCAAATCCTGCTGCAGGAAATGCCATCACAGCCACCTCTGCAGGAGCAGCCAGGCTGAGGAAGGGCAGTGCACGCGTGGCCGTTGCACGCTCTTTGCCTTTTCCTCTGTGGCATTTATGTCAAAGCAGTACTGCCTTAGATACTGCAGAGACACCTGGTCAAGGCTTTACCTCTTTACATACAAATAGGAGCTAACAGTCCTCATAACCACTACAGCCATGACAATAGCTTGGTCTCTGATGTATCTCCTGAGGCATACAAAGGTTCCAGATACACAGCACAAGTTTCTGGGTGCCCTAGTGAACTCTATGGCTCCTTGTCTGCAAGACGTAAATCCCCGCTCTTAAATTACTTTAGTCACCAATACCTGTTACGTAGCAGACTTCCACTTCTTAATATCCCCTCCAAAGCTTGGAGCAGCTGCCTGACTTGAGACACAGAGACCAAACATACTCCAAAAGTCTTCTGATGCTTCAGCCAGCCTGGCCACGCTCTGATGTTCTGTTACTCACTCTTGACTTGCTTTCACATCCACAGAACATGGCACTATCCACTTCTTCCACCTAGATTTCATGGTTGAAGCTGTACAAGGTACTAACATGTCAGCCTGCTCACCATGCTTGCATAGTTTCTTTTTTAGCTCTACTGGCTTAAATGATCAAATGACAACTGACATATTTTAAATTGCTACTTCCAGTGCCTCAGCAATACAGTCCTTGCTTGCTAAAGCATCACACAGAAGAATAGCTTAAGAAATTTGCTTTAGAGATGATCAAAGTACTTGCAGTATCAAATATTGCAATATCAGCGCTTGCAATTGCTTAATCCAGATGCAAAATGTGTTCTAAGAAGGTATGAAGAAGAGTAAACAGGTAAGTACATACCTGATATTTCACAGCTCTGCCAGTGAAGATACCACAGAGGAAAAAATAACATCTTATTCTGCATTAAGTGATTTACAGGAAGTTAATCTCCATCACACTCTACAAGGAAATTTCCAGAGTATCTGAAAAATCTGCAAGAGTATGTGCAGCAGATAACATTTTGGCAATTGTTGTTCCAGACAAGGAGGGCACTAGTTTTAAGTCCCTACCGGCATAATTCACTAGGCATGTTTGCACTTGGTTGTTGTGGAAACCAGATTCACAACTTACTATCTGTCTAGAGCAAAGGCTTTCTTTGCACACAGAAACATGCAGAGAGCACCTGGGGACTGTGGAAAAAAATACTGGAATTAAACAAAATTTTATTTTGCCACAATATATTTTTTATCTTTTCAGCACCAGCACTTATTTATGACCAACCAGTCTTTGCTGCTGAAAGATGTTGCAATATACTGTTCAATGGTCCTTTACTAAGTGTTCCTTAACATTACTCTAAGAGAAAAAATAGAAGCGCCAAACTCCCTTCTGCTGTTGGGGGCCCCCGAGCTGGCCCCAGCACTGCAGGGGGGTCTCCCCAGAGCGGAGCAGAGGGGGACAATCCCCTCCCCGGCCCTGCTGCCCCCCCTGCTCTGGCTGCAGCCCAGGGCACGGGTGGGTTCTGGGCTGCCAGCACACGGGGCTGCCTCACGGGCAGTTTTCCCCCCACCAACCCCCCCAGTCCCTCTCCTCGGGGCTGCTCTCCAGCCACTCCTCACCCAGCCTGGGTTTGTGCTGGGGATTGCCCCGACCCACGGGCAGGACCTTGCCCTTGGCCTTGTTGAACTCCATGAGGTTTGCCTGGGCCCCCTCTCCAGCCTGTCCAGTCCCTTGGGATGGCATCCCTGCCCTCCTGCCTGTCCCTGCACCACACAGCTTGATGCATTTTTCTTCTTTTTCCAGTTAGTCCAGTACATAAATGCTTTCCCCAAATGCACTTAAGAGCTTGCAGGCTCTGCTCCTTGCAAAAGGAGCCATAGAGCTTCAGAGCGTGTTTGAAGCAAAAGCACCAGGACAAGCCCTTATTACACAGATAACCACTGGTAGATATTCTGGTAAGGTAGAGAGAAACGTACGTTTGGGCAAAACAGAACCAACAGCTGCTCATCTCCAAATTCCCAATCACATGAAATTTTACTCCATCCAGGAACACTGCAACCAGAAATGCTGCTTAACATCTTAGAGAAATTAGTAAGAATTGCAGAGAAATGTCTTAGTGCCATAACAGACACACAGATAACATCTTTCCTTCTTTGTCTTTTTTTTTTTTTTTTTTTTATAATAGAGTCTAATCTCCTGATTTACCATAAATATAGACAACATAGGAGTTGAAGTGTTCAGGTTTTGGGGGGGTTTTTGAGCATACTTGACCTGTTCATCGACTATGCACAAAAAGGAAAGCTATACCAAAAGTTATCACAGATTTTAAGGTATTTGGTTTGCATACTTAAAAATAGCTTAAAAATAAAAGGAAAGAAAACCCAAGGTTTTTCTTTATAATCCCAACAACAGTTACACTCATGTTTAAGAGTTTTTATATAAAACCAAAGGAAACTATCTTTCCAAAAAACAAACCTTTACCTTGTATTAACATAAGTCATAAAAATCTTTAGCCTATAAGCCTCAAAAATAAAAGATAAAGTCTAATAGATACATATGTAGTTCAGAAAATAACCCACAATGGAGAAAATACTTTAATTTTTCACCCTCTATTGTTAGTAAGTTGTTCTTTCAACAGAACACAGTATCGATAAAGTTAATTAAGCAATCCTAGTCACATAAAGTATGTTATACACTCCATAGCATCTTCCCCCAAAAACATAAAAAATAAAACTTGTGCATTTTTCTTTATAAGAACCAGGTAGGTTCCCCACACCACACACCACCCCCCCCAAAAAAAAAAAAAAAAGAAAAACCCCACCAACAAACAAGAAGAAGCAGAGCTTTCCCATGTGAATTTAAGCATTCCTGGCTTGATTAGCTCATGGAAATTAGACCAGTAAGTACACAGGAGGGAACGGGCTGAGGATATAAATGCTCACACCGGGCACCTTACTATGTAGAAGTTTTTTTTTTCTTTGAAGCAATCAAGAAAATCTTAGGGAAATTTATGATTTTATTTCAAGGCATATCAATTTCATAAATCTATGTGGTTTATTGTAAATGAAAGAAAATATATGTAATTGCTTTTGGATTTTTAAAAATTATTATAGAATATCTGAAAAATAATTAAATATTATAGTAAATCAGTTTTTCTGTTTACTAAAACAATAAAAATATTTCTAAAAGGTATGTAGGTTTATTTTTCTATTAAAGATACTATGAAAAGGTTTCTGTTTTATGTTACCTGCTTAAGAATAAATGGCTTTTAATACAAAAATAGTTGATCTGTAAATACTAATTTTTAAAGTAACTTGTTTTATCCTTATGGTAAGTTCACGTATTCATTTTCAACTAAAAAATCCCAGGTTTTTTCTTTTGGCTTTTTCAGTCTTATACAGAAGCTATTGCTTTTGTAGAAATAAAAGCTATAATAGTGTTTCTATAGCAGTATTAGAAAAAACTAGTAATGTATCCTGTGAATGTTTTTAAAATCAAATCAATGAAGACAGTTTCTTGCATGGCTATTTCTAACATGATTGCTCTTCAACTTTACTGAAACTGTTATAATTTAAGTCAGTGAATTAATTCTGCATTACTGTGGTTTAGTGTTAACTTGTCTTTCTGATTGTCAGTTTAAAAATGAACTGTGTAGTTCTAGTTTGTTTTATCAAAAACTTGATGCATGGTGAGGTAGGAGTGAAGGGTGCTGAGACGAGGAT